AGCTAAAGATAAGGTGTCCTTGTCACTGAAAAACTACAAAGGAATGCATCTTGGTATAACAGATGATGAGTGAAGAGTTGTTTAGACTAAAAGCTGGGATTTTTTCCAGGATTACAGAGGTGTGGGGTTGGAACAAGTATTCACCTAGCCAAGCAAATAGAGACTCTGCCTAGTAACAAATAGTCTTGCAAAAAGGGGGTAGCAGCCTACAAAAAAAGGAAGGATTTTTTTTGTCAAATCAGTAAAAAAGTATATAGAATATCTAATTGTTTATAGGAAAAAGTAGTATATGCTGTATTATTACTACAAATCTTCATTTTCTTGATTATAATGGCATGTTTAATTAAAATAAAATTTGTTTTGTTAACAGATCTTATATATGAATAATTTTAAAAAGCTTCCTGTTTTATGTCTGAGAAGAAAAAAACAACAACCAGTTTTCTCCATTTCATCCACATTGAGGAAAAAAGAAAAAAAGAAAAAACTAGCGGAACAAAGAATTCCACTGAGGAAGGGTTAGTAATCTAATCCTTTTGTAATACTTTACAAAAATAAAAAATCTAACTAACCATAAATGAGAAAAAGCTACTTGGAAAGATTTTAGCAATGATATTACAGTAACTCCTCACTTAACATTGTAGTTATGTTCCTGAAAAATGCAACTTTAAGTGAAACGACGTTAAACAAATCCAATTTTCCCATAAGATTTAATGTAAATGCAGGGGGCTAGGTTCCAAGGAAATTTTGGGGGGGCAGACAAAAGGCATTATCTACTGTACAATACTGTACTGTACTGTGGCGGGGAGGTGCCCCGGCTTACCCCTGGGGCTCAGGGCTGGGGGTGCGGGGTCTGGGAGGGAGTTAGGGTGCGGAGGGCACTCAGGGTGGGGATGCAGGAGGAGGCTCAGGGCTGGGGCAGGCAGGAGGTGCAGAACACTTAGCTGGGGCAGCTTCCGTTTGGTGCAGGGGGTGTGCAGGTGGCTCTGCGCAGTGCTGCACTGCCCCCTTGGCCGCGATTCTGGGAGCTGCCCCCCCCCAGCAGACAGGGCCACCCGGAATGCAGGGGCTTTAGGGGCTGCAGGGCCCTGGGCTAAGGGGGCCCCAGGGCCCTGGGCTGCAGCTCTAAAGCCCCTTTCGGAATGTGGTCCTGCGAGCACGGGCTGGAGGACTCAGGAGGAGCAGGGGCAGCCGCGCAGCCAGCGGCTGGAGAGAAGCGGCGCTTTCCCCTTCAAAGCTGTCCGGAGAGAACCAGCGCTCGCAGGGCCGCATTCCAAAAGGGGCTTTAGAGCTGCAGGCCAGGGCCCCGGGACCTCCTTAGCCCAGGGCCCTGCAGCCCCTAAAGCCCCTGCGTTCCAGGTGGCCCTGCCTGCCGGGGGGGGAGGGCAGTTTTATCACTCCTTCCCTCCCTCTCTCCCTCCCAGAAAGTCCTAAGCACCGCCAAACAGCTGTTTGGCGGCAGGGGGAGCACTGGGAGGGAGGGAGGAAAGGAGGGGGAGAAGAGGAACTTGTGCAATGCTCCCTTGTAAAGTCAGCCAAACGACGTTATAAGGGAGCATTGCACAACTTTAAACGAGTATGTTCCCTAATGGAGCAGCGACATAACTTCGAAACAACATTAAGCAGGAGGATGTTAAGTGAGGAGTTACTGTAGTTATTTATTATAGGTGGGGCTGGTAGTGTCACTTCTAATTAAAGTTGGTCAATACTTCACATTATCAGACCCTATTTTCAGTTGCTTATAACTTTGCCAAACTTTAATTATTTAGGCTAACTTTTTCCATCCGTGTGTCTGACTCAAGCTGTTTTTTTGTTTTAAATTTCAATCAAACCAGTTCAGCCATTTGCAAGAACGAGTCTAGGGAGCAATACATTATCTTGCCTATGTTAAAAAATCCTGGTGACCCTTTCTTTGAACAGCACTAGTGCCCCCATTCTTTGGAACAGGCACTTGAAATTTGCCTGGGTGGGGGGGCGGGGAGGGGTTGGCCTTTGTGTCAGGAATGTGCATTTTGTTACCCCAACAAAAATCCACCAACATTTGGCCAATTTATAAGCCTTTGGAAAATGTTAAGAAATTGTACTTTACACATGCTAGAGGAGACTTGCTAGAGTTTAACAGCTAAAATCTCTGAAAATTCCATCCTGACTGAGCATGTTTGAGTCTTTTACAGCTCCTAGCACTGACCAGACTGTGCATGCATCATCCCTACAGAGCAACGGAGCATTCTCCATCCCCTCACAGCTCCTGTGAATGACTGAGCACATTCTCTCCAGCCCAGGGCTATAGGAGCAAAACAGGCCTGTCCCAATAATGACTGCTCTGAGCTGAGGATGGGCCAAGCAGTGGAACTGGGAGCATGGAGCCTGCCTCTCCTGTGTTCTCAATGACTCCTCCCAGACAGCGTGGAGGAGGAGGCCATTTGATTCAAATACAAAGGGGACAAGAGCCAGACTTAGGGTGTTGCAGGGGAGGGCTGGGGGAATAGAGTGGAACAAGGAGCCTGGGTGGTGTGGACTAGGCCTGGAGACTTGTGGGGGTGGTAGAGACTGGGTCTGGGAACTAGGGGGACTGGCTGGGCAAGAAGACTGAGCCTGGGAACCAGTGGTGCACTGAGGGACAGATCTGGAAAGAGGCCAGAGTGTGGGGGAAGAACTGGAACTGGCTAGGCAAAGAGATTGGGACAAGGAGCAAGGAAAGGCCCGGACAATGAGACTGGATGAGAAACCCAGAGAGGGAGACTGGTCTGGGAACCTGACTTTCCCTGTAATTGCTGCTCTGAGTCAGACGGGGGCTGGGCACTGGGAGTGAGAGCAAGTAGTCTATTTCTCCTGTGCTCTCAATGACCCTCTCACTGGCATTCTGGCAGCATAGAAGAAAAAGTTATCTGGTGAGACTGGAACTGAAGGTGAGAGGAAAGAAACTGGGAGCTGGGAGGAGAGGCTGAAATTAGACTTGATGAGGCTGGGATAGGTTGGGCAAGGAGACTGGGACTGGAATTCAGTTTTGCTAGGGGGAACATGGAAATTGTACAATTAATTGGGGGGAAGGGGAGACTGAGACTGTCTGGACAAGGAGCCTGGGACCAGGAACCAGTGTGTGAGGGAATGAGAATGAGGCAGGAGGAAGGGGAGACAGATCTGATAAGGAGTTAGGATGCAGGAGCAGACTGGGGAATGGCTAGGCAAAGAAACTGGGAGAAGAAGCCAGAGAAAAGAGAGGTCAGGGCAACTAACTGAGGATGAGGTGGGTGCGGAGTCTGAGACGGGATGAAGAGCCTGGAGAGGGGAGATTAGGCGTGAAAGCCAGTGTGGGAAAAGAGACAGACTGGATGCAGAGCCAGGAGGTAGGAACTGAGACTGGGTGTAGGGAAAGGGAGAAACTGGGAGTGTGTGTGTGGAGGTGGGTTGGTGGGAATTGGAACTTGGATAGTAAGCCAACATGGGGAAACTATACTAGGTGGTCAAGGATACTGGGATTGGGATGAGAATCCTGAGGGGTGGAGATTGGTTAGGCAAGGAAAATGAAACTGGAAAAGGGAGCCAGGGGCAGGGACAGAGACAGGTTGGAGGGGAAAAGGGCAGGAGGGATCAACCTTAGGGGAAACAGGCAGAAGAATCTGTGCCCACTAGAGCACACTCCCATCTAGAGCTTTAAATAGAACCGAAAATTCCGGAGTTTCACTATTGCTCTGCTTTCAGCAAACATCTGTGAAACCCACTGGCAAAGTGTGTCTCTCATCACCTACTAGTGCTGGTCCATGAGAGCGGTCTGGTGTGGCTTTACGTTTGTGTGTCCTTGTCTGTGAGGAGCTTGCTTTTGATGATGAGCTTGGAGAGGTTGGGGGGTTATTTGAAAGCTAGAAGGGGTTCAGGGAAAGATTTCTTTCAGGATGGGGTCCACATTTAGCATGGGTTGTAGTTTGATGATACCCTGAATGGGTTCCAGTGTGGGGTGGTAGGTAACAACTAGAGATACGCATTCTCAGAGGGGTGTTTATCTCTGTATGAAGCAGGTTCTCTCGGGGTATTTGAGTTGCCCATTCCATGATGTGACCTACTTCTCTGGTGGAGTGTCCTTGTTTGGTGAAGGTGGTTTTGAGTGTGTTAAGGTGTATACAGGGCCAGTGCAAGGAAGTTTCGCGCCCTAGGCGAAACTTCCACCTTGCGCCCCCCCCCCCCCCCCCTGGGGGGCCCCCCCCCGCGGCAGCTCCCCCCCCCCGGGGTGCCGTGTGGCAGCTCCCCACCCCAGCTCACCTCTGCTCCGCCTCCTCCCCGAGCACGCCGCCTCCGCTCTAATTCTCCTCCCCTCCCAGGCTTGCGGCGCCAAACAGCTGATTGGCGCTGCAAGCCTGGGAGGCAGGAGAAGTGGAGCGGCGACCGCGCGCTCGGGGAGAGGGCATAGGAACGCTGTAAAAAAAAATTGGGGGCACCGCTTTTTGGCGCCCCCAAATCTTGGCGCCCTAGGCAACCGCCTAGTTCGCCTTAATGGTAGCACCGGCCCTGGGTGTATATCCCGGACTTTCTGTTTGGAGCATATTCTGTGGAAGTTGAGGGCCTGGCGGGAGGTAACAGATTTCTTGGGGGTTTTGGAGTGGTTGCTGGATCTACGAAGGTAGGTGTGGTGATCGTGGGTTTCTTGTATACACTTGTCCATAGGGTTCCATTGTTGAAGCTGATCGTGGTGTCCAGGAAAGTGGGTGAACACTTTCCACAAAGTGATCACACTATATCTGACCTATCAGTCCTCATCCAGAAGGGAAACCTGCACAACACTTTCAAAACACAAGCTTGGGAGCTTAAATTCATAACTTTGCTAGACACTAAAACTCATGGTCTTGGTAAAGACACTGGATTTATGGTTTATTGCAACAATCTGCAACCCACTAACTCCCCCTTTTGTCCTGTGTCTGCAGAGGTGCTAATGGGCTACTTCACCTTGAACGATCCCTTAAAAAATGTGCTAACTCTTTATGCTAAACTATCTGTTTGATCATGTATTTAGCTGTGACACACTTAGGCTATGTCTAGACTATGCAGCTTTTAGCAACACGACTGTGTCGTTACCGCTGTGTCGCTAAAAGGCACGCAGTGTAGCTGCTGTTTGTCTTCTCCCCTGATGACAAAAACTTCTACCCCCAAAGAGCGGCGTTAGCTGTGTCGGCAGGAGAGCACTGCTACCGACAAAGCACTGTTCCCACCGGTGCTTGTCATCAGCAAAACTTTTGTCTTTTGGGAGGGTGTTTTTTTAACACCTCTGAAAGACAAACATTTTGTCATTCAGTTGCCAGTAGACATAGCCATTGTGCCTTTCCCAGACCTTAACAAGAGCTCTGTGTAGCTTGAAAGCTTGTCTCTGTCACCAACATAAGTTGGTCCAATAAAAAATATTACCTCAACCACCTAGTCTCTCTTAATATCATAATCTTTAATTTTTATTTGAATGGTGAAATTATGGAGAATATGGTGCCCTATAACATCAACAATTTTTATCTTCCCCAAACATGGGTTTTCAGGGGACTTTTTACTCAGTCTAATGTCAAGTTTGTAAATTATTTAAAGGACCTTGTCAGTACTTTCATCAGTTGCATTTTGAGGTGCTTCTTATTTTAATATAATTCATGATATTTAATTGTATTTAATTGCTCCCCAGTACAACCTACTGTTGCTATTAGTTATTCTGTTAATTCAAGTGGCTAATTTAAGTTACGATTGGTTGTATGCAATGTAGGCTGAGCGCTTTCATAAGAGACTTGTGCAACCATAGCGGTGTGATCATTCCAGGAAATCAAAATAATGTCTATAATAACATCTTTTTACTGAACAAAGTCTTTAAAGCATTGTAGACATTTAAAAAATCTAGTATACATAAGGAAATGTTGACTCAGTAAGTGGTGTGCTAAATAAACACAGGAGGCCACTCTGTCTGCCTTATATGTATGTTGGGAGTCCCTCTTAACAATGAATAGAATGATTTCAAGAAAAGCATTTTTGAATTCCCACATACCTCAAAGAGTAAGAGAACATCCTAGTAGACATACTGAACTATTCCTGTTGACATAGTCAAAGGATTATTGTATTGAGGATGGCAGGGGGGAAAATATCTGAAATATGAGACATGAGCTTGATCTACATTATTTGCCACAAATCTTAGGTAAAACTCATGTATTCTATTACTGACATGTAGTTATATACCCTTTTCAAAAGGAAACTTAATGTAAACCTTTCTCCAGTTTTCACCCACAAAAAAACCTTTTCAGCGTGAAAAGAGAGAATGTTTATGCACACTTCTTATATGATTATGATCAGACAAATGATTCTGTAAAATGACATTTTGGTGTTTGATATTTATTCTCCTTAAGTCACTCTGTAACAAAATTGCTCAATTTTCAAATCAAAACAAGATTTTTTAAACTGACAGCACTTCAAGTATCTTGAAATCAAGCCATTTTCTTTTTACTCTCATACATTGTCAACAATAAATATTCTATAGTCAGCATATGGCTTGTTTTGCATGATGATACGTGAGGCAGAACAAAATATAGCATGCTCCTATGCAACTACTCATATTGGCTCTGCAGTTCTTACAGTACTTAAGCTTATTTTATCAGTAAATGAAGCAATCTGACTGGCACACATGTAAGAAGTGGATTTGATCAGAAAACAGGTAAAACAAAAAATCTTTTTGTGACCATGGCTATATTGCAAATGCAATTATTGCATAAAAATAACAGTAAGTCCTTAAATGAAAGCCACAAAGGCCAAAAAATTCACTTCATGCTTCTTACTATGTTCCTTGGCACTGTAAAGCTCTGAGAGAAGTGCATGAGCTGAACATAGAATCATAGAACTGGAAGGGACCTTGAGAGGTCATCTTGTCCAGTCCCCTGCACTCCAGGCAGGACTAAGTATTATCTAGACCATCCCTGACAGGTGTTTGTCCAAAATCCTCTTAACAATCTCCAATGATGGAGATTCCACAACCTCCCTAGGCAATTTATTCCAGTGCTTAACCACTCTGACAGGTAGGAAATTTTTCCTAATGTCCAACCTAAACCGCCCTTGCTGCAATTTAAACCCATTGCTTCTTATCCTATCCTCAGAGGTTAAGAAGAACAATTTTTCTCCCTCCTCCTTGTAACAACCTTTTATGTACTTGAAAACTGTTATCATGTCCCCTCTCAGTCTTCTCTTCTCCAGACTAAACCCATTTTTTTCAATCTTCCCTCATAGATGATGTTTTCTAGACCTTTAATCATTTTTATTGCTCTTCTCTGGACTTTCTCCAATTTGTCCACATCTTTCCTGAAATGTGGCACCCAGCACTGGACACAATACTCCAGTTGAGGCCTAATCAGCGCAGAGTAGAGCAGAAGAATTACTTCTCGTGTCTTGCTTGCAATAGTCCTGCTAATACACCCCAGAATGATGTTTGGTATTTTTGCAACATCGTTACACTGTTGACTCATACTTAGCTTGTGATCCACTATGACCCCCAGATCCCTTTTCACAGTACTCCTTCCTAGGCAGTCATTTCCCATTTTGTATGTGTGCAACTGATTGTTCCTTCTTAAGTGGAGTACTTTGCATTTGTCCTTATTGAATTTCATCCTATTTACTTCAGACCATTTCTCCAGTTTGTCTGGCTCATTTTGAATTATAATCCTATCCTCCAAAGCACTTGCAATCCCTCCCAGCTTGGTATCGTCCGCAAACTTTATAAGTGTACTCGTCTATGCCATTATCTAAATCATTGATGAAGATATTGAACAGAACCGATCCCTGTGGGACCCCACTCATTGTGCCCTTCCAGCATCACTGTGAACCACTGATAACTACTCTCTGGGAATGATTTTCCAACCAGTTATTCACCCACCTTATAGTAGCTCCATCTAGGTTGTATTTCCTTAGTTTGTTTATGAGAAGGTCATGCAAGACAGTATCAAAAGCCTTACTAACGTCAAGATATACCACATCTACCGCTTCCCCGCATCCACAAGGCTTGTTACCCTGTTAAAGAAAGCTATCAGGTTGGTTTTACACGATTTGTTCTTGACAAATCCATGTTGACTGTTATGTATCACCTTATTATCTTCTAGGTGTTTGCTAATTTATTGCTTAATTATTTGCTCCATTATCTTTCTGGATACAGAAGTTAAGCTGACTGGTCTGTAATTCCCCGGGTTGTCCTTATTTCCCTTTTTATAGATGGGCACTATATTTGACCTTTTCCAGTCTTCTGGAATCTCTCCTGTCTTCCATGACTTTTCAAAGATAATTACTAATGGCTCAGATATCTCCTCAGTCAGCTCCTTGAGTATTCTAGGATGCATTTCATCAGGCCCTGGTGATTTGAAGACATCTAATTTCCATACCAAGATGTGACCCTCAGGCCAAAAAGTTTGCCCACCTCTGCTCTACATTGGATTGATCCCAGGGGCATGTGAAATTAGATCTGACCACCTCTGAAGTCCTGGAGAATCCCTTGAAGAATTTTCTGCCTTACTGAGTTGGTTTTAATCATATACATGTTTATTTTTGTGTTTCATGTTTGTGTCACAGCTTGTTTGCTGTTTATTTAGTTACTCTGACTTTTTATAGTCAGTTGGTAGTGTTTCAGATAGAGCATGTTCCAAGAGAGTAGCTGGATTAAGTGACCTGGCCCCTGTGTACATAGACTAGGGGGAGAGGCACACAAATTCAAACTGATTACTATGTGCAGCATAGAGTCTTGCCATTTGCAACAGATGAGGGAAGGGAGCACACCTGTACTAAAGCCAGTGTAGTGGGTTGTTGTGTCACTGCTAGGACTTGCATAGCCTGTTCCAAAACGGAACCTTTTGGAACCTGATGGATGCTTGCTCAGGTGAACCATTGCATGGAGAGGGTGGGTGTCCAGCCGAATAAGCCACAGATTACGAAAGTGTCATGATTTTTGCTGAAACCTGTGATGGCATGGGTCATCAAGGCACATGGGTCAGGCTGCAGTTCAACAAGGATCACCCTGTCTAATTTAATTCAGTTGATTTGATTGAATTAGTTATCAAATTTGCATAAGCTTTTATTTAATACCATGTCACATATCTGCCCTCATTTACCATTTGCCACAGATATATCTCATCCCATCACTTCTTTCTACCCAGGCCATTCCCTTGGACACTTATTTGTTTTTGAACCTGCTCTTGAACAATAGTTCCCACTACCTCCAAGTTACATCAGTGGAAAGTCCAAAAAAGTAGCAGCAAAAAACTTTAAAATCCACACGAGGCAAGATAATCATTTATTTTATTTTATTTTTATTTGAATTTTCTTTTTTCTTACCATACAACAAAAAGAATATCCATGGCTTTGGAACATGCTTGAAATGAAAGGCATTTATGGTACTCAGACAAGCTTTAGTTTCATTTTGTGCTTTATTCTCTGCAAAAACTATTAATTGCCTTGTATACACCTCTCCTGTAAACATTTTCATATAAATAAAACCAATGACAATATTTCAACATGTATTATACTCAGAGTATAAAAGGGAGAAAGAATTTGTGGTGGACATGAATATAGAAGATGGAGTACCCAATTGAATATGACTGATATTTAATTTTAAGAGACACAGTGAAATAGAGGTTGAGCAAGGGATATATTTTTAAAAATGGGAATAAAAATTGATATTATTTCTAATAATATTATTTAACTGTTACATTATTTTATGCTGTGATTTTTTTAATATCAGTAGGTTAAAAAATTCTGCCTTTAAAGAGATAGCTGGTATAGGAACTTGTGAAACTTTCAAAAATATCATAATTTTCTTTTGATGAGTAATAGAGCAGGGTGCTGATCTAAAACTTATTAAAGTAAATTGAAAGATTCTGATTGAATTCATTGAGGGGTTGGATTAGGCTCCAACAAGAATAGTAGCTGATTTTTAAGTTGGCACTTACTACTATTATTATTAAATATTTTGAAACTTTTGCACAGCCATTTTGACACAATAAAAAGCAGTCTATTAGACTTAACTCTGAGCCTTTGCTTATCATTATTAGGTGTGTTGAACAAGCACATTTTGGCAGATGATAATACTGTACTGATATGACAAGATAATTTAAATTCTTATTTCAAAGTAATATAATATTTAATTCAAACTCACAAGAGGATAGATTGACTTAAATAGGACATTTATCATCAGTAGATATTAAAATCTAATAAAGAGTCTGAAATAATAAGAAATAGTAAATTTTTATAATCAAATACGCATCACAGATTAAATATTGCATTCTTTGTATTGTAGGTTTCTTGGACATGGAGAAACCTAATATGGAGGAGCAGGTAGAAACTAAATTTAGGCTTTCAGTTTGTAAAGCTGCTTTTCATTCCATGAAGGATAAGCTGATGATATTTCAAAAGAAAGAGGAAGAAATTTGGCATGCTGTACACCCATTTCATTCTCTTGTTCATCCTGCTCCACAGCTTAAAGCTGTGAATCACCCAGTAAGTATAGAGAAGAGGATTTTTGCTAGAATGTATGGATCTGTAAGACTTGAACCATTTTATGTTATTGATAAAGCCTACAGGGAGAGTAAGAGATGTGAGATCCAAACTAAAAAGATATGTGGGGTTATGCAGATGCAAATTGCCAAAGGCGAAGCTGACTACTGTATTAAGGGTTTTCTTGAGGAGAAAAAGAATGGTGTTCAGAAAAGATGCAAAGAAGAAGACATTAGAATTCAAGAAGCTTTACAACAACATCAATTGAGAAGATCAGGATTTATTGAAAAAGTAAAGCAAAGGCATGCTCAGTTTTTAGAAACCAAGAACCAAAAAGCATCAGAGTATTCATTAATTCAAGACTTCAGCATTCAGCATGCTTCTTTGACACAGAGTTTGTTTAGACTTGACAGATTGAGGAAAAGTGAGGAAACCATAAAGGAAAGAACGAGCATTGTTAAGGAAAACAAAGAAGATATGGAAAAATGGAAGGAGCTGATAAAAAATTTTCAGGGGCAGAGGTATGTTTCTCTTAATACTCAGTAGTATAATATGAATGCTGGATTGGATGTGGATCATTTTTCTAGATTGAAATACATCCATATGTTAGAATGTTTTGGATGCTTTTTGTAGAATAAACAGAAATACAAATAAATCATATCCTTGCTCAGTTCCAAAAACAGATCAAATATCAGAGTTACAGTATTGTAAACAAAGTGTTCCTCTAGAACAGGGGTCGGCAACGTTCAGCACGTGGCTCGCCAGGGTAAGCACCCTGGCGGGCCGGGCCAGTTTTATTTACCTGCTGACGCGGCAGTTTCGGCCGATCGTGGCCCCCACTGGCCGCGGTTCGCCGTCCCGGGCCAATGGGGGCAGTGAGAAGCCACGGCCAGCACATCGCTCACCCGCGCCGCTTACCCTGGCGAGCCGAGTGCCGAACGTTGCCGACCTCTGCTGTAGAAGTAGAACCACAAAATCAAGGGGAACTTTAAGTACATCCTTAATACCTCTCTTAGCCAATCCTGTCCCTTGCACCGAATCTGAGTACAAGTGCTAGGTACATGTGCTGGGTACTTGGGCAGGTGGGGAGACCTCAGGCCTGAAGTGGCCTGTATAGTGACTTGTTTGCCTCCCAGAGGGAAAATCCAACAGATCCACAAAGTAGTGGAATTCAGAACCACCTTCCTCAGCTCACCCAACTCTGCATCAGCGTGGAAGTTCCCTGTGTGCACCACCTTCCATAGCTAAGGAGGACAGGGCAGGATTTGCCCATTTACATAAAGTGAGGAAAGTGACCATAACCACATTTCAATACTAATGTGATTTTTTTTAAAGGGAAAATTCCACAAAGAAAACATTGGGGGGTTTTTTTGCCCACAAAAATAAAGCAGACAGTACATTATTCTTACTATGCAGCATCACCTGTGCTGGATTGTACTGTCAAAAGTCCATAGAAAGCAAACAAAAAGCATCAAAGTATTCATTAGTTCAAGACTTCAGCATTGTGGTTAAGATTTCTCATTCTTTCCTTTGAGACTTTGCATAGTAGAAAATATATGCTTGCTTAATTATGCCTTGTTCAGATAAGACACAACAGCAACCTTTTTGTCTTACGATGCAGTGTCTTTGTGTGCAGCACAATGCCATATTATTTTTACTAAGCAGAGTCAGATTGAAATCAGTGGTGCAAATAAATCTTTAACAGTTTTATTGTCCAAGACAATTTTGGGGCAAAAACTGAATCCAGGATGTCAATGCATTCATTAGAATTCAGTTTGATACAATTTGGAATAGTTGAGCCTTGAACCATGAAAGTTAGGATTTTGTAAATGTATGGGAAAAGTAAATTCTATTGTGTAATGTAGCTATTCTGCCCACATACTAACTACATTTTTCAGGCAATTACATTATCTATATTAAAGTATTTTTTTCCAAATCCCTAAAGACACCCATTCACATTAAAGCATAGCTCTGCTCTGAAAAATGACTTGTGAGGGTCCATGTTTGTTAGCTTCCAATGACATCCATATGAAATATGCTTAATTTACAGTAAAAATGTTTTTCTTTAAATACAAACACAACCTCCAATCTGAGAGGTGAGTGAGCCAATTTCCATATTTCCCACAAACAAAAGTTCTGCAAGCTGTATTAAGCCCCCAGTTGCACCTGTGTAACCTTATTGTCTCAAATTATGCCATTAGTGACAGCTGAGCAATTCCATTGTCTTCAATGGGTTTGCACTTGTGTAACTGATTGGAAATTTAGTAAATGATTCTGTTGATGATGCACAAGATGGAACAGAATCTAGCTCTCTCCCTCTTAGTTATTGGCTTTGCCATGCTAAGGGGAATAAAAAGCAATAATGGAATGAAAAGACCATATCTGTTCTATAGAACGATCTGAACTGCTTGGTAAAATGGGCTCACTTGAACAACATGCATTTTAATATAACCACTGTGTACACCTAAGAACAAAGAGGTATAGGTCACACTTACACGATGGGGGACTGGATTCTGGAAAGCAGTGACTCAGAAAATGACTTCAGGGTCGTGATGGATACCCAACTGATCATGAGCTCCAAGGATGATTCAAGGTTTGGAAAACCTGCCTTACGGTGAGAGGCTAAAGAAGCTCAGTCTATTTATTTTATCCAAGAGAAGATTGAGGTAACTTGATCATGGTTTGTAAGTACCTATATGTGGGGAAGATTTCTGATCAAGCTCTTTAATCTAGCAGACAAAGATATAACTAGATCTAGTGTCTGGAAGCTGATGCTAGACAAATTCAGACTAGAAATAAGATACAGCTTTTTAACAGTTAGATTAATTTGCCATTGAAACAACTTACTTAGGGATGTAGTGGATTCTCCATCACATGAAGTCTTTAAATCAAGACTGGATATCTGTGCTCTAGATCAGACAGAAATTATGGGCTTGATACAGAAATTACTGGATGAAAATTTGTTGTGTGGTGCAGGAGATCAGATTAGATGATCATAATAGTCCCTTCTGGCTGTCAAATCTGTGAATCAGTAAATGCTTATTTTTATCTCTAAAGTTAGCAGATGTGATTCTGATTACACATAAGAAGTAGATCTGGTGGTGTCATTTTATTACTCAGCCAAAGAGGTAGTTCATGGCCCAAATTTGGTCCCTCTGATACCCTTGCAAAACCCAGTCACTGAGCACATACAGTAACATCTCAGGCAGTAGTCTGCACTTCATTCAGGACTGACCTTTTGGTACCGACATTTGTGCACTAGGTGCTGATGACCCTGGCACCCATGACGCCAGTGCTGACCGCTATGGTACAGATTCTCCCACCACTGATTTCTCAGCGCCAATGTTGTTTTTGGTACTCAGTGATGTTGCACTGACTGTGCAACCTGAATCACCACAATTGTCCTCAGCTGTGGGACTGCCCTGCACTTAAGTATCAACTACCAGTAATGTTATGGTATTAGTGAACTCTTCAGCTCTAGTGATGGAAGGCTGGGGAAACTTAAGCTCACCCTAGAATTCTGAATAGGGTAAACCTACCATTAGAAGAGGAGTACTCATTTTCTTCATACCCTTCTGAGTATAGTAAGGAGATATCCTCCATCTGCTCATCTTGTTCCCATTCATCGGATCCCTATTGATCTGACAGGGAATCTAAGAGCCATCACTATAACCACAGACCTATGAGATCTTGGAGAGATCACATACCTTGATATCTACCTCTCTGGCCCCAGCCTCTTACCCCTAACTAGCATTACATCGCCTTCTTTTATGAAACTTCGTAGAGTTGCTCAAGAGGAGACGCTGCCACAGGCTCTCACTATACCACAGGAAGAACAGGAAAGTGATGAAGAACACCTGCTGAGGAAAAGTGCTTGGTCCCAACAAATATCTCCTCTTCCTCACTGGATGAGGATCTGAGTTGCCAAGGAAGAAGGGCAATACAGAAGGCCCTCTACCTTTTCCTCCTCTACTGCACACTGTGTCCATCTCATAATAGCAAATTTTATGGCATCAAAGCCATAAATAGCCTTTAAACATTATATAGGCTTTCCCACCCACCCCCATCCCTCTTAGACAACCACTGTTTTATTGTTGAGAGTCCTGGAATGGAATTACCTCAAACCACACCGTTTTAGAGATTGTTAGTGTGGGGTATTCCATTCAGTCCCCATCCCTTCCTAGCCCAACTCCTTCCTTGTCCCTCTCTAAGGATCCCTCTCATAAGATGTTGTTAAGACAAGTAGTGGACTCTCTTCTGAATCTTGGAGTAGTGGAAGATGTGCCCCTGGAGTTCAGAGGGATGGGGCTTTACTTTCCTTATTTTCTAACTTGGAAGAAGAAAGATCTGGAATCCAATCCTGGATTTGAGATATCACAACAAGTCAAAGTAGAAAAAAAATCAATGGTTTGTTGTTTTTTTTATTTAAATTGGATTTTTTATTGAAATACATAGTTTTTTAAAATAAAATAAATTTATTTAAAATTAACTGAAATTATGACAACCTATGTTAAGGACTAAACTTATTATAATCTATTACAATTATTTAAATTAATTTTAAAATAATATCAAGCAGTCCATGTTTGTTGTCAAGTGTTAAAGAAAGTCAAACCTCCAAACTAGTGGAGGTCAATAACTAAGCACCTGAAACCAGAGTTTGTTAAAGTGTGAAACCACCTTTTGACAGCAGAGGCCTCTACTACAGGTTCAGAGAGAATATTTTCTTCAATTCAGTTTATTTAGTTAGCTCAGTTCAATAACTAGTACATTCAGAGTTAAGAAACCAATTGGGAATTGAAAAAGCAGGAACGCTTGTTTTTCTTTTCCAATCTCTGAATAAAAACCTAAAATGTGAGAGGAAGAGATCTACTCAAGGACATCGTAACTGGAAACAATGAGTTCAGTTCACTAACTACAGATAATCCTTTGTTTAATACATTTTTTAGTTTTGTTTTGATAACCTTTTTGTTAAACTTTTTTTCTTATGTATCCAGCAGAGTTAAATAAAGCTACCTAAATAATAAAAATTCTATTTTAAAATTCTGTTTTGGTTCACTTTTAACTGAGTTCTAATGTCCATAAAAATAGAGCTTGACACAAATCACAAGAAAAATGAATGATCATTAGCAAATGACAAATGCATCACTGACCATTTTCTAACATAATAGAAATGTAAAAATTAAGAAAGTGAATAAATGTAAATTGTCATCTAATTACGTAAATAAATAGTATAGGTAGATATGCTTTAACAAAAAGAAGCACCAAATTTAGCATAAATGCTATTTTGAGTTGCAAATCAACATGTTTTAAAGGTTACCAACCAGTGAGAATCAACCTTTCTTTAGGAAATAACTAAAAAGTACAAATGCAAAACAAGATTAAAATTGATTATTTATATCAAGGTTTCCTGCTTGCTGATTTAAGCCATGATTAAAATTGGTTATTTAAATCACTGATTTAAATCAATCCACCCTGCAACAGGTTCATCTGTCGTTTCAAATGCAGGATGATAAGGTTGGCCTCTATAATCCAATTATTAAATTCCC